TATCCAAAAGACGTGTGACGAGTCCAAACATAATAGTGAAGATTAGGAATAAGGCAGAGATTAAAGTTTTTCAATGTAAATTGAATTGGATGAACTTTGAGAGAAAATAATTGAGACAATAATAGGGAAACAATGAATCTACTCAAGAAAATATGGGGAAATTTTAAGAACATGCAAGACCACCTAATGTAGAATGGGGATATTTTGAGCAGAAAGAGACCTTTGGAATAAAACATAATTTGTAATAAGACATTTAGTATATTCTTAAAACCGATTAGCTACCTAATATTCATGATTACATAGTAGTACAAAAAGAAAACGGGAGACAGAAAGCACGAACCTTTGAATTTTCATTCAAGTCTTCTGACTGGCCATTATGCATGCAAGCAAAGATCGTTTGTCCACGGACAGAATGAATATCCGGTGTCAGTCCGTTGACAAGAACTGCTTCTTTGTTGTCTAGAGCTTGAAAGGCAACGATTGAGGCGCCAATCCGATCCCCACACACCTCAACGGATGACTTTACTGATGGATGTCGGTGATGATGGTGAGGGTGGGCTTGAGGTGGCTGATGATTAAGAGATTTTATAGAGTCCTCAGAGGGTGACAATGTGGTGGCTGCATCCCCTCTATTTGCCTTATTATCCTCAGGCTTTATGACCGAGCGAGAAAAAGAACGCCCCAAGGGCAACGCATGAACATCAAGGATAGAAGACTCAGTCCCATTGAATTCCTTGAGCTGATTTGTCTGAACCTCGGTCTTAACGATGTGAGCTGTGTCAACTGAAGCTTGAGCCAAAAGCGCGGATACACGCAGGTCATGGACTTTATGGAGAGGCAATGTTAGCATATTTGTTGAAGGCGAGACTAAAGCATTTAGGAGGCAGTCTTTACGAATGCCGTTGCCACCGAACAAAGCACCCAAACTAGCTGAAGTTGCGATAGACTTGGTTTGCTTGGGATCTGGTGATGCTTCAGACGATGATACAGAGATGGGGCCATTGGTTAAAGGCAAAGAGATCTCCTCTAAACTTGTGACTCGAGGTGATGAACAGTCTGAGACAAGGGTAGGAGAGGAATAGTTAGGGAATTTGAGTGTTGGTGAATATGTCGAAAAACGTTTAACAAAAACATGTAAAGTTTAATTGTATGTGTGGCGAATAGCTGATAGGTGTCATAAATAAGCTTATGCATGAATAGATATAGGCTTAACATTTTTAAGAATAATTTTCTGAGATAATATTGTTTTGTTGGCTTTCAATTCGTATGAGAGCTTGATGAAAAAATTTGTAGGTCAAACTCACCATCTTGGCACATAATTGTTGAAAAATCAACTCTGAATAATTAATCCCAAAATTAGAAACCCTTTTTTATCGAAAATTCAGATAGGATCGCATAGGGGTTGTTTGAACTTGTTTTTGCAACTTGGTAATGCTGGCAGGGAGACCTAGAGGAATACACCTTGTCCGGAGTCCATAGTAGGCATGACAATTTACAGCTTCGTACCATGGACTTGGTTCATTCCCAGACAATTTGCCGACATCGAAGTCGGAATCGTCAGTGGGCCTTGCCAGTTTTAGCACCAGACTACAACTCGTCAAAGGGACAAGTGAAGTCGATCCCTTGAACAATTGTCTGCTAAAAAGTTGTGATATTTCTCCTGTCCCGGTGTATTCATCTATCCTATATCCTAGTAACATCTTTTCATTATCACAATTTCTTACTTGCTTATTTAAGCCTAGTTTAGGTCGGATTTACTGAGACCTACTCACACTCCACGTTGGTTCACACATCCCCATCCACTGTGTTGGGAGTGTTGACCCATGGCTGAAATTTAATCCGCAATCCTCTTCCTTCAGGTCCTATGAGTCTCCCTTTTGTTCCGTAGGACCAAGGTGAAAAAAACCATGTCAAGCAAGTTATATACAACGATAGGAGACTGCAACCATACAAAAGGCCACATAATCTTGGTCATCATACCGATTAAATTGCGTCTTATATATCATAGTTATGAAGACCAAGATGGTGTGATCTTCTGTTTGGTTGCAGTCTTCTTTAGCTTTATAGCGTTGGTTAGACCTTATTTTCGCAATTTGGTCGAAACGTCATGGAGACCTTGTGAAATGTACCTAGTCCTGTGTCATCTGCCATAGTATTCGTGATGTCCAGCATCGGACCTAATATAAAGTTTAATAGAGTTGGTCTAACCTCGTTTTCGAAACTTGGTTGGATAAGCAACGAGACCGTGAGAAACATACCTAGTCCGGAGTTCTCTGGTATATTATTCATGATGAATTCAAGCATTTGACCGTCGACTTGGTGCCTCCTCACAAGTTTGGCCGGCATCGTCAATGAGACAGTAACCTTAGAATTACATATTATCAAAATAGCACACCATCTAGATCTTCAAATATATCAGTCAAATAGTCTACGCGTTTGTCAAATGCTAAGACCTGTATAATGTCGTGAAAACATTAGGATACTTTAGCCATATTCATGCACTAAAGTAAGCAGATTTTTGGCTGAAATTCAATGACTGACTGTTTAGTATAAGTGATTAATTGGGACTAAGGACGGTTATTCGCACAAATCTAGCCACAAATTGAGTCTTCCGATTAGGCCAATTTACAAATATCTTTTAGTAGCCTGTTAAAAAATGAAAGCTACTTTAACATTAATATTAAATTATTTTTAGTTTATAATTAAGTGGGTTGATTGCTATAGCAAATACAACTTTGCTTTATCGACAATGCAACCAAAGAATGTGATATGAGGAAATGCCTTGTCTTACTGTCCTGTGACACCCGTGGTAGTGCGATTAAATGGTTAACGAATCAAGAATATATGCTGCGCTACCAGCGTTCGAGTCCCACTAGGGGTGCTGGCGATACCTAGACGAGGTCAAAATTGTAGTCCACTCCAGATGAATTCAATAGAAACGTAAGGCATACTCATGGCATTGCGGGAAAAATACAATTACTAGTCCAACATCATATAAAACGAAATAAGATGAAGACATCTCATATAAATGAGTATCAAGTGCTTGTGGACATTCACTAAGAAATGAATAATTTTGATAGTAGATGAGAATACTAAGAAGACATAATCTTTGGGCATATTGCATTCTTTTCGAAAGGCAATTTGACCTCGCTTTCGTAACATAGACGAGTTGTCAGAGTGCCCTAGATGAAGGTACCTTGTTCGCAGTCTTCTGCAATATTCTTCACGATAATTTCGAGCGTAGGACCGTGGACTTGATACAGTCTGTTCTAATTACAGAGATTTGTTTGGCTCCGTTTACTATTTCTAACTTGTTTACAGAAAAACCAGGTCAATTGCCAGACTTTTCACCGGCATCCGAAAAAATCATGTATAGCGGCAAAACAAAACTAATGAGTTACAGCTAAAGCCAATTCAATCGACAAATAAGGTATTGAACTGTCATGGAGTCAATCTCTGAGAGTATACCTATACCTGATAAGCGGTAGGGTGTTAAATTACAAATAGCTAAATTAGCCATTTTCTGGTAAACACGGCCAAATTATGAGAAGTTCATTTCCGTCAACAATATCGAATAACAATAAGAATAAATGTTGCAAGCAAAAATGGGATTGCAGACTAAATTTTGCTGCGAAATAAAAGGCTTATTAAAAAAATAAGGGGTGACGGAAAATAAAATCGTTCTCATTTACGCTTTATTACCAACTTCAGTCCTCCAAACATAATATAATGTT